CTCAGAAATAACTACCTGGTATATGTGGAAGGTGTGTAGATTTTTGTTCTCATTGAACTAAGCTGACTCTTAGTGGCTCTCTGGTGCCTTATCACCCAAACCTTGAAAAGCTCCATCTTTTTCTTAAACCTTCTGCCACAAGAAACACAGGCGTGGCATTGACTTCTGAAACTGCTTGCCACTCACTCAGAAATTGTGGCCCTCCTGGCCCACCATAACAACAGAAGTAGAGTAACTGAGGGAAACATATGTAACCACATGCTAGAGGTAGAGATGGCTAGTGGTAGGAGGAGCACAGTCATGAATATTTGGTGATGATGAGCCTATAGCATAAGTAAGTGGCAATTTCCCAGTTACCCCTGATAGAGTTCACTCTAGTCATATATTAGTCTTTTATTATGAAATCATGCTCAACCACAAGGTGCCTTACTTGTTCCACATCCTACCTAGGCTACCCATCCCTAATTAACCCACTGCTGGGAGCCCTTACTCAGCATCAATAACAGATAAATTATTCCCTTACACCAAGTTCCTTTTGATAACAGTGTGTTAATATTTAAGATACTTCCTTGAGCATCTGAGATGGGTCTTTCATCTAAGCTTATATTAACTTATGTTTTTGTTACCTTTGCTTAAGAAATATCTGTTCATCAAATTCAGTCAGGCTTTGTCCCACCCCCAAGTTTCATCAGATTAGAATAGAAATGGTCATTGGTTTAGATCTGTTTTCTATCTTCACAGTCCAATTGCTACGGCCACATAGAATCCTGGCATAGAGGTTAACACTAGGCTCAAAGAGGCTATGTCCAGAACTGCAGATAAGAATGACTTTAGATACCTCACAGTGTGGCCCACTTAAATAGTGCCTGCTGTAAACAGGCCGTCTCCTATTAACCTTCAGAATCCCTGGACTGGTGAGAGCCCTCAGCTTCATAGGAGAGTAGTCTTGTACTAATATTAACTTTTCCAGCCCCTCTTGACTTGTCAGACTGTGAGACTAAAGTTAAAGTTTGGTTTAGAGTCTATGAACAGTGATGTTGGTGATTTCTGTGTTATTTGGGTTTTGTTTCCTTGAGCCCCCCTGGGCCAACTGATCAGATATAGTCTAGCCTAGAGATGCTGAAAAACTATGATGTCTTAATTTAATCTCTGTCCACCCCATTCCCATGACCAAACTCTCTGAAGCTTTAAGAACTACAATAACTCCTCTACCATGCAATGACCAATCTTGAGGGAGCAGAAGCTGAGAGGTACAAATCCTCACCCATCAGCTTCACCTCCATGAACATTGTGGTCTCACACACCTGGTCTGCACCCTTTTACATCCTCTGAACATCAGAGGTGCATCTCAAAGAAACAGTTGTAGATGAGATATCTAAAGATATGCTGATAGTAAGACTATGAAGTTGTTTGGGGATTAGATGGAATTATATGGGCCACATACTACTGTGTATTGATGTAAAGATGCCATACAGTCTCTACTATTTTAGGATGATGACAATGGGCTCCTCGGCTGGGGACCATCCATGTATTATCTATCAGAGTGAATCTTGGAGACAACCACATGAATCAAGTGTTCTTTACAGTACCTCTAAGGCTCTGAATTGTTGCTCCTAAATGAAAAATTAGTGGGACCTGTCTGAGACTGCTGAATTAATTAGTGTCTGACATCAGAGTATGAATCTCACCCAGCAGGTCCGTAGGTATTGTGGAAGTCAGCAGAGATCATTTTGACAGGGATCTTGTAACCTCCCTTGGTCATGCCCCTTGACCCTGCTTCCAATGAACCGACACTCTGCTTCAATTATATATATATATATATATATATATATATATATATATATATATATACACACACACACACACACACACACACAAAATCTTATTTTGAGTAGATGGCATAATAAATACCATTTTTTCTTCTTGAAACAGTATCCTCCCCCAGACTACCATTCAAGGGATTTTCAAGTGTTTTCTCCATTTGCCATCCTTCCCTCATGCCCCTGTAAGGCATCTGAGGCTTCCTAAGACATGGGCCACCAGGGCTCATCTTCTAATGCTGACAGGGCTAGAGAGGCAACATCTCACCATCCATCACTTTTGATGACATTCAAACATTTTCAATATGTGGGCTTCCTGATAACTTCCATTGTATGGAAAACAAAATGGAGGGAAATGATTATTGGCACTAAAGGGGGAGACTGTAAATCTTCAAATCAGATACAGGGAAGATTGGAACAATATGGCTTCTTCAAGGTTGCCATGATAATGTACCTAATAACTCTCCCTGGGCAAGAAGGCAATCTGCTTTCAATCAATCTCCTTCCCCCTGCAAACCCCCCCTTTTTTTTCTGAGCAAAAATACCAATTATGTTAAAGGAAGATTTTTTTCTTCCTTTTTTGATAAGCACTGTTCTCCACCCCAGAAATCATGCTGTAGCTAAAAGATATATATTTTCAATTGTCTAGCATGGTATCAGACAGCTAGCTCCAAATGAAAAAAAAAAAGTCAATCTTTTTACCCTCTTCCTCTCTCCTGCCAGCATTTGTCTACTTCTTAAGAGAAGTGAAAGCTAATTAAAAGCTTAAGGGATAATATTGATTGCATTGAATATATTTTATATATACCCGGCACACTTTCAAATAGTAGAACCCTGACTTTTTCTAAGGCTGAATAAATCAGCTGGCTGAACCTTTGATTCAAGGGTGATTCATTGGGGGGAGTGCGCATATTCTCCCCTTCCACTTCACACATCTCTCTTAGGATGAATGATTCCAGAGCAGCAACTGGGGTGCTGTCAGACATTCACTCCATTCTTTGTGTACAGAACAGGAAGGGCGAGTGTTCAGCTGTCTCAAGCTACCATTCATTCAAGTCTGGATTTGATCATTACGAGGGATATGCCAGTGTAGAACTCTGAGATTTGCAGTATCTGATACAGAGGCTGGCTGGGTAAGGTTGACCTCTCAGCTTCTCCTTGTATGGACTGGAATAAGTGGCATGTCTGGTATATTCTGCCCTTGGCATCAAAGCAGGTTACTGGGGTTCTTACTTACCCTGCTTGCTCTTTCACTCAAGACATAGCTTAGTTGTAGAGATAAAATCCTTTGTCTTTTGTGTGGAGGTCAGGAGGGAAATTCTCTTCCTTGGTTGCTTTCTGGGCATGCTTGCCAATTCAGAACCATAAATCTCATTCAGAACACTCATGCCTACTTAAATGCTTATACCATAAGAAACATTTTACAATATGAAAAGAAATATAAAAATCCAAATAGTCTATTTACTTCATGAATTCAGATACACAGTATATTTTACAGCCTTATGGTCAGAAGGGGTCAGTGATATGGGGCTTTGGACATGAAATTTGGGTGAGTAGCTGAATGATGCCTCACAACCTAGCAGATTCTGTTGAGAGGGAAATATGATCATGTTACGATGTCTCTTCTGAAATACTTCATTGTTCCTCTTCCTCCCCTTCATGACCATGTCATGTCTGATCACTAGGTGCACCACTGTAACAATAACAGTCCATAATGGTAATATTATTAACTGCATTGTGTATATTATTGATTTACTCTTTGTTCTGCACCATTATCTTTTCCCCAATGAGTTTACTGTATTATTCTCATATACTTAGTTGAGCACCAAATTGCCACAAAAGGGCAGGCTCTTGTAATGACGTCTAATGGGACATTGCATAAACCATCATCACCACCTCCTATTATAAGCTGCCTCCAGCCAATGAACTTTCTGCCACATTACAATGTGAACAGAGAAATTATAAAGGGTAATGTATTTGGACATTCTGAAGTTTTCCTGGGAAATTGCCTTACTGCATGTTCACTACCTGGCCCAGTCTTAAAACACATTAGAGACCTACCCTCTGTCAGCCTGAAGGGTGGAGTGGTGTGAGTTGGGCCACTTAGCACAGTGTTTTGACTAGAAGCTGGTGTGTATAGCTTCACAGCCAAGTCCATTTTGGGCTTAGAGCCAATTCTCAGATCATGGTCTTGTGACTGAGCATCATGAAGTCAATGTAAATGAGCCCAGGATAGTCTGATGTTGAGGTCACATTGTTTCAGGAAGAAAAATTATTGGAGAAGCTGGATGTTTTAATGCTCTGGAAAAGGATCTCATTTCCTGGGGGAGAGGGGGGTGAGCTGCTATTTCTAGAAACAGAAGTCAGAACTACCATAGAACAAAGCCAGCATTTTCACATTCATGTCTCCCTTGCTTCTGCCTATTGTAAGGGTCTTCAGATGAATTAGTTTGGCATTCAGGGAAGTCCCAAACACCCTGAGGTAGCAGCCCTCTGGGGACACAGCCACAGCAGGCAGTTTGCTCTTCCATTCCATGGGCATCCCATCTCCATTTAGCCCTGAGTAATGCTCACTTACTGTAAAGTGTTACATGCCTCCATTGTTGGAGAAGTTATGGTGGAAAAATGCAAAATTTCCTTTTTACTGCTTATGGCCAGCCAAGCCTATAACATGTCAAGCCGCACATTAGCCACCCTGATAAAAGTCCGCTTTCTTACACACAAAATCATCGTTTCAGCAAGATTTGTTATCTCATTACCTGATAAGCTGTATGTCATAAACCAAGACTGCTACGGTAAATCTCCCAGGAGGACGCTTTGTGGGCAGAAAGGGGGAGATAGGAATCTGCAAGGGACTTGATAATGTAGCATTTAAGCACATGCATAATGTCACTTATTGTTAAATGCATAAAACCACTTGGCCAAGTGGCTGGGCTTTTAATAGGATTTTGTACAGCATCAGGTGAGCAGCCATATGCTTCTGTCCAGGAGCCTCTGAGCAGCTGCTAGCACCATCGCTTTGCCTCGTGACCCTCTGGGATGGGGACTGGGTTTGTGGGGACTGAGGGTGGAGATAGATGTTCCTCTTGCAGCTGCCTCACTTACTCTGCCTTGTTAGGGATCAGGATGTGGGGTCATGTCACTGGGTCTGCCTGAAACTAACTAGCCTCTCCTATGCAGGCACATTGTAGTCTGTGGCCACATCACTCTGGAGAGTGTCTCTAACTTCCTGAAGGACTTTCTGCACAAGGACCGGGATGATGTCAATGTGGAGATCGTCTTTCTTCACAAGTAAGAAATGGCTGTTGTCACTAGAGCCTCTGCCCAACTGCATGCTCCTCTCTGAGTGCCTTCACTCAGAGAGATGGTGGAAATGGAGGTGGTTGACTATTGGGACAAGGAGCTTGAATAGCCATGAACTCTTCTGGCTCCTTAGCTAAAAGGTAGTTTTCCCATAAAAATGAAGTATTTGGTTTAGAACCCTTGGAGGGTGAAGCAACACCGTAGTCCGGTGTTGAAAGCCATCCCCAGGGATGTGGTCTGGGATCATCTCTGAGTTTCTTTCTGAAGTACTTAACCATGAAATTCACTAGGATCCAAGTCATCATTCTTGTCCCTTCATCAATGTGTATCTGTGCAGTCAGGTGTGTCTGCAGGGCTGGAGTGGGATACTTGATGTGGTTGCCAGAGAGGGACCAAGCAAGGCAAGAGAAGAAGCAGGGTGACATACATTGCTGGGACAAAACACCTGGCAAAAGTTACTCTTAGCTAGTGGGTCCATGGACACAGGAAGTATAGCAGTGAAAGCATCAGGTAGATGGTCACACTACATCTGCATGCAAGAAGCAGAGAGAGATGAATGTTGGTGTTCAGGTTGTTTTCTCATTTTTTATTTAGTCTGAGACCCAGCCTAAAAGATGCTGCTGCCACATTCATAGTGGATCTTTCCACCCCATTTTACACAGAGGTTGTCTTCCAGGTGATCCTAGATCCCATCCAGTTGACAGCATTATCACACAGTGTATTGGGCATATTAACACTTTTCTTCCTCTGAGTCTCCAGTGGTACCTCAGGCTGGCTCTGTGTAGATGGATTTTCATTTAATCCATAGACATAATGCCAATTACATCTTTAATCTGAATCATGACTTAACCAATGACTGCCTGGACAAGTTATTTCCTTGTGCCCCAGCTCCCATGTCTATGAACAGAGGAGATGTTCTGTCTCCTTGGATTATCATAAGAATGAAAGGAATCAATCAATGTAAAGTGTTCAGAGACCAGTTAGTCATGTAGGAAATGTTAAAAATATACATTTAGTCATGGGCAGTACCCACCCTATATAGAGAAAGACTCTTGGTGAGACATTAGCTCACTCAATTGTGGAGGCTGGGAAGTCCCACAATCTGACATCTACAAAATGAAAACTCCATTAGTATTAGTACTTGGTCTAAAGGTTGAAGGCCTGACACAAAGGAGATGGTGATGTGAAACCCTAGTCCAGAGAGAGAAGAGTGGGAGGACTAAGATGTCATGGTGCACATAGGCAGGCATGGATCAAGAGACAGCAATGGCCTCCCTCTGCCTTTTCCTCTTTAGGTCCTTGCTTGGTTGGCTGATAACCACTCATGTGGGGAAAAAGGATCGACTTTCCCAAATTCACTGATTTGGAAGTGAATCTCATGGGAAAGAACCCTCATACATGTATCTGGAAACCAAACCACCTGAATATGGGCCTTCCAAGGTGGTCCAGTCAAGTTGACACATATCATGACCAATCACACTGATGCCACAGCTCTGGCTTTTCTAGTGGTAACAAAGAGGAAGACACTTTACCTCATAGGCCTCAACTTTTGTAAGTCCAGAGACCTCTGGGTTTGCTTTTCAGTGGAGTTTACTTCTCTTAAATATGAGTCTTTTATTTAGGGCAGAGAAGGAGGTTTCTGTGAAGGTTAGGGCCTTTGTTCAGGACCTTATATGAAAGCTGAAACCAAGGGAGTCACAGAATCCAAGATGTCCACTCTGTTGTTTTAACAGTTGTTTCTTTTCTGTCTGTGCAGCATCTCCCCCAACCTTGAGCTTGAGGCTCTATTTAAACGACATTTTACTCAGGTGGAATTTTATCAGGGTTCTGTCCTCAATCCACATGATCTTGCCAGAGTCAAGGTAAGGAAAAGTAAATGTTTGTACTCTTGCTTGAGGGATGGGGCCATGATTCCCAAGAGCCATCTCCTAAACTATTAACTACATAACACAGATGTTACTGACCCTGGTTCACTCTTTCATTGGCATCAGGACCTTGTTCTCTAATTGCTCACACTAGACTGTATATAAGTATTCCACACTTAGGTTAGTCCTAACATTGAACTTACTTTCTTTTTTCTTCTAAATCAGCAACTCCCAAAGTAGGACTCAAATGTTAAATTTGGGCTATCTCATCCCCATGGTTCAGTGGGTAAGGAAGGGCACTTGCTGCAAAGCCTGTTGGCCTGAGTTTGAGCTCCAGGACCTACTTGGTGGAAGTGGACAATCAACTCCAACAAATTGTCCGTCCTCTCTCTTTAATGTACACACACACACACACACACACACACACACACACACACACACACACGATAAAGGAATAAGCATTTCCAAGAAAGTATAGAAAGAAAAAATGAAGCTACTATTAGTGAAACAAAGTAGGACAAAGAACACCCTAACCCTAACTTCCCAGTCAAAGGACACAAATTAGGGGAAAGGGTTAAGAAACAAACCAGCTGTCTGCTGTCTACATGACACTTACCTAAACTTCAAAGATAGCCACCACTTTAAAATGAAAGGGTAGAAAAACCACTCTGAGTGAATGGGAGCTGGAAGCAAGTGGGTGCCAACATCCTACTATCCCACAACATAGATTTCAAACTAAAACTAAAGAAGAGACAAAGAGTGGTTCTTCCTACTAATCAAGAGAAGAATCTACTAAGGAACTCTTATAATACTAAACATGTATACACCAAACTCTGCTCTACCCAGTATCATAAAGCATACTACTGGACTCAAAGATACAGAATAACTCTACAATAGTGGGTAATTTCTAAACTCCACTTGATCTAATAATAAATAAATGTAAAAAAAATAAAGTTGAATGGATAAAAAGCCATGCACACTATAACATCATAAATGGTTAGTTTTCAACTAATTGAACCCAGTATAGTTTTCAGATCCATTAATTATATCTGAGAGAAATGTTAGAAAAGAAAATAACATCAAGTTATAAGGCATTTGCGCTTCCTTCAAAGCAGACTCCACCTCATTTGGTAATAAGCTAATCATATTCTTCGTGGCCTCTTCTGAATTGATATCTTCTCATAAAGTACAAGTAAGGTTTTAGGGGAAAAAAAAGGACCCAGTGAACTGACAGCTTCTATGTCATTCATTTAATATAGGTTTTGTAAGAGTGTTCACCATTTGCATGCCAGTGGCAGTTAATATTGTGTGAACCCATGGAAGTCTAAATGCTAACTGTGGTCACCAAAGTGTTCTGAAATTGCTGTAGTGGCAAACAGAAAAACCAAAGGATTTGTGTGAATTCTTTACATTGTTAAAGAAATCAAGAGACAATGACAGACCAGGAAGGGAACCATGACCCTCCCACCAAATGCAACATTATGAGCAAGAAAATTGCAGACCCATGTCAGTGTGTGAGTTCTCATGCTTTTGTAGGCTAGTTTATCTTAACATTATCCAGACATGACCCAAGTCAGAAGTACAGAGAAAATGGATTTTGTTCATAGGCCTAATTTAAATGCAAGCAATTATTAGCACATCAAACTCATGGTTCCTCTAAGGACAAACCCCCTTTTGGCTCAAATTAAGATAAGTCAGTAGGCTGCTTTTTGGGTCCATCTGTAAAGTATCATTTAATTTATGTAAATGATTTGTCTTTTGAATACCTGAGTAGTAATGAATAGTGAACAGCATAGAGCTATTGTCTGTTTAAGGATCCAGTTTCTTCTTGGGACACATAGAATGAAAATGTGTATACATTTTGATGAAAGATTTCTTTAAAAAAATATTTACTTATTTTAACTTTATTTGTATAAGTGTTTTACCTGCCTGCATGTATGTATGTGTACTTCCTTTTGTCTGAAGCTGACAGGCCAGAAGAGGGAGTCAGATGCCCTGGAACAGAATGGTTGTGAGCTACCATGTGGATGCTGGGGATGGAATTTACATCTTCTGCAAAAAGCAACAAGTGTTCTTAATGACCGAGTCATCTCTCCTACCCCTTGATGATCTGTGTTGTTGAATCTGAAAATATTTTTGTCTACATTGGAACTTGGGGGAAGGGGTTTAACCCAGAAACTTCTATTTCCTGGCTGAAAAGATTAGGATGATAGCACAGACAGGTGAATGAGATTGAATGGCTTAATTAAGTGAACTAGAAGGACTTCAGCATACATGCCTGTAAGCAGCTAGGCTAAATGAAGAGCATAATTACTCAGGTTCATGCTACCATGTTTATCCATAACAAGGACCTGAGTTGCAAACTACACTTTTAACAAAACTAATTTTTTTCAGGATTTTCCCTCTTTCCTTACAAAATACCATGTTCTCTAAATGCTGGCAAAAAGAAAGAAAGAAAGAAAAAAGACTACAGTTGTATAGTTGAGTGTATGCGTTTATATGTTTGTGTTTGTTATGATTTTTCCTTTTGGTCTCTCAGATAGAGTCAGCAGATGCGTGCCTGATTCTTGCCAATAAGTACTGCGCTGACCCAGATGCAGAAGATGCCTCCAACATCATGAGGTAACTCAGGGAATCAGGTGCTGGGGAAGGTCCTGGATTCGTCTCCCACTTGCTTACAAACAACCTTTTTCTGGCAGAGGACTGTTTCTGTGGACCATCTTTCCTTCCTATACCAAGCAACAATGGCTCCTGTATGGAGCTGGTGGAGCTGAAAAGTGTTGACATACTTACTGGATACCATCAACAGGAAGCTCAGAGTTAACATATGGTTTGTCCACTGCTCAGAGCTGCTCTTGGGTTTCAGATCCCTAGAGAAAGAACTAGAAAAGGAAAGATATATACAGGACAGCTCAGTTGGTAAAGCATCTCCTGTGCAAGGGTAAGGATGTGAGTTCAAACCCCAGAATCAGTTTTAGAAAATGAGGCATAGTGGCACACTTGAATCCTAGGAATCAAACAGCAGACCCCAGGACTCACCAACCAGCCTAGCCTAACTCAGCGAGTTCCAGGTCACTGAGAGGCCTGTCACACAAAGTCAAGGTGGTGCACATCTAAGGAGTAACACACTCAATGCTGATGTTTGCCTTCAAATGGACTAATACCCACACACAACAATTCATACCTATAAAATCTCGAATTTTCATTTTGTAAGAAATTATGTTATCTGAAAGGATTTGGACCCAAAATGTCCTTTCTGGGGAGGATCTTAAAATACCTCCTGGAGGTATTTTCCAACAAGTGTAACATCTTTGCATTTGAAACAACTAGAAGGTGGTCTTGCTGGAATCCAGTGCATAGAGGCAAGGACTGCTGCCAAGCTTCCCACAATGCACAGCACAGTCCCTATCTAGAAAACCATCTTACCCCAAAATGACAATAGTTGAGGCTGAGAAACCCCTTGGTAGTACTTCTGTGGCCTGTCTCCTTCAGGATGATTATTACTGCTCTGCAAGTTATTGGTTAATTAGCTTGTCTCAGTTTCCCCAGATGAGTGTTCTTTGGTGGTTTTAACATTAGCATGTGTCTCTGTGATACTGAATTATGTAGATTACATCTTAATCCTGTATGGATTAAAGTCCCCACTCTTTATTTTAATTTTTTGTTTTTATCAGATCATGGTCTGGGGAGAAAACAAATCTAGAACACTGCTAGTTAATGCCTTTTCTGCACATGGGCTAGGTCTCTCAGACTTTTAGAGGCCTTAATTTACTTTCCATTTCAGAAGGAAAGTTTTCATTAGCTGTTGTTCTTCCCATAGACTTATCATCAAGTCTTGTATCTAGAAGATGATCGAAAAATCCAAACATTGTGCTGTGGTTAGCTAAAATCCTTTTAGAATTTGTCTTTTCTCCAATGTAAATTGCGGAATAGTCATTTGAGGTTGAGGAAGATAATAAAGAGAAATTTCTAGAGAGAGCCTGGACTAAGGGAAGTAATTCATTCCCAGTGTATTCCCAACAACTCTTACTTAGTAGTGAGCAGCCATCCTTTTGGCTGGGCATAGGCCAGATGCTAATTGCAGCTGGCTTCTCTGGGACTAAAGGTGAGAGCTGGGAAGTTGCCTTTGGATCTTTACAGTGCTTGTGAATACTTCATTTTGGTTTTAATTACTGTTCACCAGCTATGTGCACTTTGCATCAGTGAAGCAGAGGAATTCCTCTGATTCATTTAGTTTGATCTATTCTTCCTGTCAGTATCTGGACCTATATCTAGAGGAAACTACTTGACACTTTTTTTTCGGTAATAGGCTTGGTTCTGTTTTGATGAAATTTTTGTATAAGGTCTGGTAAGACTTGGTTTACCAGGCTGGGATGCAATGGGGACTGGCTTCACACTGGAGCCCATCTCCTTACCAGGCCTCATTGGAAAGTGACCACATAGGTCAACTTCAGTTTAGAATGTGTCCCTTGTCACTTTCAAAACTAAGCAGCATTTCTACCCTTTGATACATTTTTCCCCTGTCCTTTGAAGTGATAAAAATGTAGCCCTTCAAGAGACAAGGCACCATCTTTTGCCTTGTTACAAATAAAGAAACCAGGAGCAGGAAGCTTAATGGTTTTGACCTCATGGAGAAGCGTTTTGTGTGTATTCTTTTATTTCTCCTCAGTGGCGAAAAATAGAAACGTGTGGTGATTTTTAAATGGGTGTTTCTCATAAACAGAATGTTTTCTTCAAACTCTTGGGATAAAGGGTTAATGTGAGCACATATAGATGCCAGGGAGAATGATGGGATGCCAAGGTATGGAGCTCACTGGGCACAGAAGGCTTCTAGGGATGTAAGTAAGCCATCCATTAAGGAAATTCAGGGGCAAGACCCAAAAGGGAGCGGGATGCTCAGGGTTAAATATGGGTTCAGCTTTTCTTTTATTTGTATATTCCTCCTTAGATTAATGAGACCAATCTGCTGCTTTTGAAATTAAAATGTCAAAGAGCCATTTGTAATGAGCTAATGCAGAAAGCTGGCCGGCACTGTGGACTGTACTGAGAGGCTAACAGAGGCTCAAAAGCCCTGAGTTAGAAGCAGAGGCCAACATGACATTGTCTCGAAACTAAGTTCTTCTGGGGCAAAGCTCAGGGTGAATGTGTGCAGAAAGGCTTTCTGGCGAACCATCTCCCTAAGTCTCTGGCTGCAGTTTCTTCAGATGAAGCTGTTGTCTGATTGCCTTCTCTTCAGTTTTGCAGAAGAAGTGGCAAAGGGAAGCACTAAGCTTGGTGGGAAGTTTGTGGGGGCGGCTGTGATAATTGTACTTGCATTCCTGATGAGGCTTAGGAGGTGGGCCTTTCTCTGGAATTCCATTTCTTAGCCTTCCTTGTCACAGAAGGAAATGTACAATGTCACTCTTGACAGGGTTGGTAATGACAAAAACCATAACTTACACGTGGAGAGGGCCTTTAATGATTTCAAAGCATTTTAACATCTGGTCTCCCATTTGCTCCTCATACCAAGCCTGTGAAGTAAACAAAGCAGGTATCATTGCCCCCAGTGTCCAGATGAGGAGACAGGAATGGAGAGCCCAGGGATTTCCGGAGGGTCACCCAGTTCATTAGCACAATAGCTGTGCTGGAAGCCAGGTGTTTCCATTCATGGGCTCCTTACTTTTTCCCTTTGGTGATTGACAGGAGAAGGGATGGCAGGGAAGGTTGGCTGGTGGGGTCATTCAGGCTCAGTAAAGGACTGAGGGCAATCAGAAGGAATTTCCCACCAGATTACCATATGTTTAGGGTGCTGGTGTTTAACTTGAACCAGTGGTCAAGTCATCATTATGCTGTGGAAGGCAGAGTTCTTGATCATATCCTAAGAGTTCTGCTTAAAATTCACATTTATGAGAATGTCCAAAGGGTATGTGATAATCAGAGCCATTTGCAGGTGGCCTGTTTGAGTCGACTCAGGGTGTTAAATGGACACAGAGCAGAGGTCTTTAGGCTGGGGAGTAGGGAACTGCAGCCCTCCAGAAGCTAAGGTCTAGGCTTGCATCACCTGTTGTAAGCATCCAAAGCTCCCATGTCCATGGATTCAGGTTCAGAGTCCATCTCCTAGGCATCACAGGTGTCCTTCATGTTTGTTTTTAAGGCAGAGTCTCATGTGGCACAGGCTAGCTCTGAACTTGCTCTGTTGTCAGGTCTGGCCTTAGAGTCCCAAACACCTGCATCCATCAATCACGTGATGTGGTTACAGTGAGCTTTACTACTCCTGCATAATTCTGATGTTTGTAATGCCTAGTACATATACCAGTGTGTGCCTTGTCATTTCTTTTCATGCTGTTAATACATATGGTGAGGGGGAAAATTCTTTCTTTAGACACAGCCCCCTCAATGGCCCTGGTTGCTGACTTGACCAAGGTTACCTAATGAAATGAGTCCTCCATCACACTCTGTGGGTTACACAGAGCTTGCTTCAGTTCTTCTCTCTTTTTCAGAGTGATCTCCATAAAGAACTATCACCCAAAAATCAGAATCATAACTCAGATGCTGCAGTATCATAACAAGGTAAGTGGTGAGATGTCTAGGCCTGAAGCCATTCTCAGAGCTTGGGTCCCATACTGTCTCCCTCTCCATACAGCCTCACACACACATGTACTCATATATGCATACATGTACACATGCCTCCCAAGGCCTAGCAAAGACATATAAAAGTCAAAATGTCCCTTTTCTCTAGGCCATTTCTTCAGGGTAATCAACTCATTTTTTATGGTGAGTTGTTGGGAGGAAGTCACCTTCTTCTACTAATTCATTCATTCAAGAAGAAGCTATTGAATCCTTTGGTTCAGAAATATTGATATGTGCTTAGATCTTGTCCATACCCAAGTTCCAACAACTTGGATTTCTCTGTTCTACAGTCATTCAGTCAATATCTATTGAATCCCTACTCTGTAATTAATTAACACTCTTCCAGCTATGGTTGGGGGTAGGATAACTGTGAAGATAAAATCTGATTTTGTGTCCTTATAGATTGATCAAGTAAAGTGTAGAGAGTGTGTCAGACAAGGGATAGAGTTTCCCTCTGTGTGACCAAGAGCATGTGAAGGAACATAACCAAGTTGAGTAGAAATAGTAGAACAGGAATCATCCTCAAATTCAGAATGGGAATCTGCCCAGTTACACTTGGGAAAGTAGTAGGTCATCCAAAGATTATACTTAAAACAGTGTTCTCAGTGTTACAGCTTCTAGTGGGGCCTGGTGAGAAAGAACACAAACAAGAGAAAGTTGGTGTTGCTGCTGTAATTAACTCTCATTGAAGCAGAGCTGAAGAGCTCTTATGCGAAAGCAGCACTCCTTCACTTGGCTTGTGGTTGGGCTCTAGACAGCTTTGGAGGAGGGAAGGTAGCATCTTGTTCTACCTGATATGGTACCAGTTGTCTTCTTAATGGTGCTTAGAGACTGGAGGCTTCTCAGTACCTGGGCCAGGTGTCCTGGCTGCACAGAAATAACTCCCTGAAGGGTTATGTGTGACAGCATGCCCTATCTTATAGGCCATATTCCTTACAAAACAAGCCATCAGGTGTCCCAGAGAAAAAACCATACTGCCAAATGCCACCAGCACCATGCAATTATTTCTTAATTGCTGGCAAGTTTTGGCCCATTTTGCCACGTGGAGGCCCATCAGAGGCCATTGCTGAGTGGGTCCTGCTGTCAGTGACTGGCCCACTGCTTGGAACTGCTGCCCGGTGCCTGCCATTGCCCAGCCCTCAGCAGGTGGCTCTATTGAAAATTCTGTTACTCTCTAGCCAGTGGATTTGGTGATGGGTATAGAAGGTGACTCCCCTGTTTGTCTCTGAAAACTCAGTGTTGAGATAAGGGGGCTATTGGTAATTCACAGGCATCAACCTGGAGAAGTTCTTGATGGCAGCCTCTGTAGGTGGAAGGTGAATTTTATTAGTGGTGCTGTGACTGGTGACAGCTCCTGCTGCAAGGAACACTCCTTTCATTTGTGATTTGAAATTTCATTTAGTGTGGGAGGGCTTTAAGTGATTATTTAGATTTTTGGCTGAATTTAGACTGAATAGGAAAATTAATGTTGTATGTTTAGAAAGAGATGTCAGTTCCTTTTCTTCTCTTTCCAACGGGTGCTGATGTAGCATCTTCAAGAAATTAAAGAGCATTTCAACTGTGCAGTTCTTGTCAAACTTAAAGCATCATGATTGGCCTCAGAGCCAGATGGTAAATGGTCAGTATTTACATGAGTATAGCCACCTGAATATCTTGGACAGACTTGCCAGTACAGTCATTCAGACACTGTGATGAAGACAGTAACAGACCCATGATTATTTGCTTTAAACACATCTTGTTAAGAACCACCCCACTCACTCTTCTTAGTTTCCTGGGTCAGGCAAAGTCATTTTTGGAATATACTTAGATTATTAAGGATACAGTGATAGAGCAACTTTGACAGAGGGCATTTTCCTGTTATGTCACATCTCCCTTTTAGAACAGGACTCTTCTTGTCTCCTTTTAAGGTCATTATTAGTAGATTTTTGAGTGGACAGTTTGCTTGCTTCATAATCTTTGCAGTTGCCCAAGAGCACCTACCTTTCCATACAGTCTTCTTCTTCTCATGACTTTTTCTCTGTACTCATCTGGGATGCACATAGAACTCCACCCACTTATACAGGCACTTAGGAAAGACCTGATGTTCCTGAGAAAACTATACCACTGAGAACACATTCTGCAGGGGGTAATGGCTCCCACAATTGGACACCAGGATTGAAATATAAACAATGTCAGCTCCATGATGCAACAAGGGTGATATTCTAGAGCCTAGAGGGATACAGGGAAACTGCTGGCCTTGAGTTTGTCATCATAATAATTACAGACATTTGTGTCCTGTTTTATGGGTTTATAAGAGCTTTGACATCATGTTGTCCTCATTGGGCCATCTGTGCATTTTAGCATCCTAGTGTAACATCAGACTAGCAGGAATCAAAGCTCTATCCTAGGCAGATCAACTCTGGCAAGCACAAATCACAGTCACTCAGCAGCCAGCAAACTAGGACAGGATAACCAACTGCCACCTTTTATTTAAATGGGACAGTAGCCCACAGAACCAGACTGAGGTTCCTAGGGAAAGAATGGTGCTCTCCAAAATGGGACTCTTTATAGTGGCTACATTTCACAGAGAGAACTTTTAAATCTGCCCATCTACTAATAAAAAAAGGAAGAGAATGTGTTGGCTGACATAAGGGTAAATGATTTAAAAGCTCTTCAAAGACAGGATTATGCATGACACACTGGACAAAAGCATCATTCCTAATAACTCACCTGTTACTGATTTTTTTTTCTTTGTCTCTGATTTGGAAACCAAGTCCCAAGCACAGACACTAGTTCTTAGAGCATTCCTGTTGTCTCTACTGGTTTGTGGGACATAGTTGTATTCATCATTGCCTTCATAACTTTCCTGTATTGATGATAAAATACCCTCACAAAAGCATCTAGGTGAAGGAGGGCTTTATTTCAGCTCACAGCTCAGGGTTCTGTTTATCACAGAGAAGAGGTCAAGCTACCAAGAATCTGAAGTAGCTGATTACGTCACACACCCCATCAGGAACTAGAATATAATATATATATATATATATATATATATATATATATATGTGTGTGTGTGTGTGTGTGTGTGTGTGTGTGTGTGTGTGTGTGTGTGTGCTTACTTAGCATCCTTTTTCCACTTACAGTCAAGGATTCTAACCAGGGATTGATGACACTCACAGTAGGTAGGTCTTCCAATCTCAATGATCAAAATGAAGGTAACCCCTCACAGGCATGCTCTAAAGCTGTTCTCCTAGATGAGTCTAGATTCTGTCAAGTTGACAGTCCAAGTTATCATAGGCAGCTTTCTGTCACTCTAACAATTAGGCTTTGGGCCATTATGAGTTGTCCTTGTTTTCTTAGGCTTGTGATAAGGCAACAAATCATTCTGAGAGAGACTGGTGGAAAGCAAGGAATCAGTTCATAGCCATCAATTGAAACAGATAGGGCTGACTGTAGTCCTGTTAGCCTCTTGGAAGGCAATGATCTCAGTGACTTAAAGACCTATTAAACTCTACTTTCCAAAGTTTCCATTTCCTCCTAAGAGAGTACCACTTTAGGGAAGAAGCTGTTAGTTAGTATGTGGTCCTTTAGTGGACATGGACTGAAGATACAGACTACAAAGTACTATTTTACATTTCAATATTTATTTGTTTGTTTTTCACAATTTTTCTCTAAGGCTGAATATATAATAAGAGAAGAAAGTATGACCAAAATTCATTTTTTCTGCCTTTCCAGGACAGCATTTTTATAGTCCTTCTCCATGAAATGAAGGGTAGTCCAATAACATAAATGGAGGGGGAGGGTCTGATTAATTTTGGACCTGTTTTTTCTCTTTGCCAAGTTAGAACAAATTTGCCTCCTGACCCCTCTGTGGAAATGCTGACGTTTTTTTTTTTTCACTAGTCCCAACTTTCCTCAAATAAAAGAGGATGAAACAAAAACAGTACCCTCTCTTGGCTTCATGCATACAGCCTTCTATCTTGGCCATTGCCATTTCAGCTTCACTTCCTGTCCCAATACAATGGCCAAGAAAGGAGACAGTAGAATTTGGAAATGAACATGACTTTCTATGTGAGACACAAAAGACCCAAGACTTACATGCCAGAGCTGCATATTTTGCATGGCATGCATATAGGGCAGAGTTTTTGCAAAATATCTATTGTTTGAAGATGCCATGGGGGTTATGTGGTGTCTCTGTAGGGACTAGACCACCCAAACCTCTTGTCACACACAAGTTCATTACTTGGATGTAATTTATCATTCTTCTCATATGAGTATTTCTGCACATGGATGAATGTCTTTTATACCATGCCAGGGAAGCAAAATGAAAAAGCTGATGTCTGAAGCCAGGGAATAATGAGGAGAGAAATGGGAAAGAGGGTGGAGCTATCTGTTGGCATTGAGTATGTGATGTGCAGAAGACACTCAGCTCCACGCGAATAACACTCCTCTCTGGCCCACACACAGGCCTGTATTAACCATACTCTGGTTAGGGAGTAATCAGTCATCTTTTCCAACTGTAACCACTACTGGCTGGGACTTGAGAGTGTCACAAGAGGTGTATTTTGTAAGCAGGCATTTCACAAGAGTAGGGTTTCTCCAAGCAGAGCAAAGAGGCCTGGACTCTGTTCCTTGTTTCTGCAATGGGTCTTCCATCCTTTTATTGCAACTGGCCTCTGTTGTTATGAAAGGAAAGGGAAGGCTCTTTTGCTGCTCCCTAAAATAATTTCAGAGCTATAGTGGCTTGGTATGTATAGGGACTTAGAAAGACTCTAGGTCAACTTGCTGGAGTGTGATTTACTCTAGCATCTTGGAAAAATGCTAAGTCTTAGGTGTAAGGATGTTTTGCTATATATTTTTTAAGTAACCATCTCCATTAATTGGATATATTTCATCCTAAGAAAGTTCCTTTGTCAAACAAGCCAAGACCCTCTGCTTTCTTTTAATATATGTCAGGCCAGTCTTATTCTGACTCCAAGAATAGAATAGGGCATAGCTAATCTTGACATAGCAGTACCTGAGGCATTCAGATGTGATGACTATCCTGTATCCCTGAGGATTGGGTCACTTGAATCTTGGACATTTCAGACTCTTTTTTTTTTTTTTTTACTGTTTCTCAAAAGAGCTTTTCTAGAATACTCATCTCTTCCTGTCTTCATGAATTTTCTATGGCCATTATTCAATTGCTCTTTTTCCCTCTCCGATTTTGACTACTAAAAATAGATTGAATTATGTGGAATGAATGTGGTCTGTTCACATAGAATGAAGTGTTCATTTCCTTTGCTCTGGAGACTGTAACAAGAAGACTTTGGCTTTATGTCATATGTCCCATGGCCTCTAATTGAGGTTTTAGTTACTCACACACTTAAATTCTATGCCCCCATTCTCCCTCTAACACACACATTTTCTCTTAAAATTTGTCTTCTTGTTTCAATTTATATAATTGATGCTTTTGAACACAAGTGCTGCTTGTGTCCCTAATATTAAGGCCTTGTTACTATCTTCTTTTGTTATTGTTATTTGTTAATCATCAACCACTTCCTGAATTTCAACCTTTTCACTCACTCTGTCATGTATGATTCTGCTGCATGCCACTGGCAAATAATATTGTGACCATGCCTCTGGGTCTGCAAGTTGGGGTCTGGATAATTGTGGCATAGAACACTCCATCTGTGAGATACTGCAAGAAGTCTGTGCTGTGATGATTTAGGGAAATGGGTCTTGCACAGTGGTCTCCAGAGAAGAAACATTACCTTCCACATGTAGAGTTTCAGATTCTCCAGCTCCACCCAAGATCTACTCAGACAGAAACTTAGCAGTATGGAGCCAAAAATCTGTGGTTTTATACACATTGCAGGGCATACAGGTACCCATTCAAGTTTGGGCCATTGCTGATCTTAAGTACTGAGAAGGCAGAAAAAACATCCAAGAGCATATAGACACACAGACATCTGGCAATCTGATACTACTTGAGAGCCATTTTATAAGCAAGCTAACCAGACTTCTTAATAATGGGGGTTGGTGTGTCTCACAAGAGAAAAAAACCTCTATGGGTTGAATCTGGCTGAAAAGCAAACTTGAGAGGAGGATGTGGTCCTGGTGATTGTAGAATCAACATTGCCAAGAGGCCACAGTCTACTGGACAGAAGCGGAGAACCTAGCAACACAACTCAGACACAGGCAGAAGGACGAAAGAATGAGTCTGGATGACCCAGTGTCCTTGGACAGTGCAGCAGTTCCCAGAAGAGATTTCAGAACCTCAGACAAGGAGCAGAACAGGGTCTCATACCTCTTGTTATTCCCACAGGCCCATCTGCTCAACATCCCCAGCTGGAATTGGAAAGAGGGTGATGACGCAATATGCCTCGCAGAGCTCAAGTTGGGTTTCATAGCCCAGAGCTGTCTGGCTCAAGGCCTCTCCACAATGCTTGCCAACCTCTTCTCTATGAGGTCATTCATAAAGGTAACGTCTTGTCTTATTAGAACACATTAGCCTAGGATTCCATTTGTCGTGGGGTTGAGTAGAGCACAGCTTAAACTCAAAACAGATCGGCGGGCTTTAACTTCTCTGGTTGAAGAGAAATTCCTTGTTACAGATTTGGGAATGAGGCCAGCTCCTTTCAAAATTATGTTTTTATTTTTATTTGGCACATCCGTGGCCATTAAATGATTGTTCAAAGCACAATCCTCTCTTTTTTTAGATAAACCACATGTTTATCTATCAACAAAGCCTCCGCTGTTAAAACAAAAATATGATTTATATACATTCCATATGGCACCAGAGTGCCTAAAGAAAAGAATTATCATTTTCCTCTTTTATATCAAGTGGCTGGTGGACCTCTCACTGTGTGGATAAATGCAGACCATGTGTTTGTGCCGAAGCCCAAACCCCAACAACATAATTCATTTATTTACTTCTGCACAATCAAGGAGGCCAGCAAGGCTGACATGCCATGGCTATTTGAATGGAGAAAGAAAAGATGAACTGAGTCTTCACCCCAAGAGACATGCAGTCTGGATATGTTCATCTCCCTGTCAGAGCTCACTGGGCAGCCACTCCTACTCTCCAGATGGCTGTTGGACCAACTCAGGGAGAGAGAACAAACCCACTCTGCTCTTCAGGGCCCAGGGCCTTGAGTGCCTCCAAGTCTAGGTGCCTAACTGAGCAAGCTTCTGGAGTGTGGGCTTCACCAGTCAAGGTAGCACAACACATTTCTGAATTGTGTTACCTAGGGCTGGGAAGTGTCAGGCCTCCATCCTTTGTACCTATATGTCATTGGTATGATTTAGCCAATAGGTAGTTCTCATAGAATGGCATAGAGAATAACTTGTCTTATGCTGCTTCTGTAATTGTAGCAGTGCTTAACTTAGTGAATAACACTGATTTAAAGTATGTTCTCTTGTGTTTATTCTGTACCTGTAGAACTCAGCTCATCAGAACTTCAAGTTCAAATAAAGTCACTGTGTGCCTCTAAGCGTCTTCTTTAACCCAGGCTGCTTTTTTCCTGCAGAGATGAAACTGAGAGCAGACGAAATACAGGGAGGTCTGGGGGCAGTGTTTTAGGATGGGACACCAAAGCCAGATGTAGCCATGTGTCTCCCAGGACTGGTCTGTTCAATCCAAGGAGTCCAGACGTAGTAGGTTAACGAACTGTCACCAAGAGAACCTCCCTGTCTCTTTCAATGGAGCTTTGGTGATTTTCTTCCAGCAGAGACTTGCTCACAGGACCCAGCACGTGGTCTGAAGAACTGGGTTCTGTTTCCTTGTGTTGATGTGACATGGGCCTTGGCAGAGCCCCACCACAGATGGGGCCACTTGACATGCGTATGTTTTGATTTTGTGGTGCCTGCATGGTAACTAGATCTGCCTGTCAAGAAAATTAATAAAATGGATGTGACACTGATTCTTCAGTGTTATTACCAGCAGAGAGAACTTCTGCCTGACTTTCCTTGGGACCCTGATGGGCCTCACCTCTAAAGCCAAGGACGTCCCTTCCAGCTCCACTAATCCCATTGCCAAGTTCCTATTTAGGAAGAGGCTGTGGGAAAGGCTGGACCGGTCCCTGGTATAACTGAAAACACATTTCCCTCCCAGGGTTATATTACTGCATTACTTCTGTTCAGGGCCAGCTCTCCCATGTTTGGAGGTAGCTCTCTGTATATGACCTTTTGACATAGAGGTGGTCTTTGTGTTAGAATTTGCTAAGAGCATAACCTACAAATAACGTGACTTCCTTTCCTACATTATAAAATTTAGAAAAAGGACCATCTTACTTAATGCATTCCCTATTCTATATTGTAATCTATGTGTGCTCATCCCACAGTCCTGGAGCTATGGTCTCTTTTAGGACCTGGTGAAAACCCATAATGTTATCCTATCCTTGGTGTGTTTTCTATATTATTGCAAAGCATTTGCTTGTTTTGTTTGGGGATGAGTGTAGGTGAAGAAGGGAATCTGTAAATGGAGTCTTATTTACAGAAATCACTTCCTTCCTCAAGGCTCCCCAGCCCCCAGTAACCTATGGTAGAAAATTCACCAGCATTTCCACCTGGAGGAGGCTTTGGCAATACTTTATCCTTTGGGAACACTTAGTATTTCTAGAAAGCCAAAGGGAGATGTGAGCTCACCTTCTCTATTGCCCTGGACAATTTGTATCTGTTTCCTACTTCTGCAGAATGTATTATACTCTGCTTCTGTTTGAAGAAGAAAGATAAACAAGAATCCAACAGTGTAGATGGGTGACAAGCAGAAACACAGAGTCTATCATTGGGGCCTTTTATTATGTGTGGGACTTACAGTATAAGACCCAAGATGAAGATAGTAAGGCTTAACAGAAGAAAGAGGTATCACTAAAATATATTTAATTTGCAAAGGGGCCAAGACTGGAGATGAGAACAAATATATGGGAATAATTACTTTTCCATCTCTCAGTCACTCTCAAAGATCCCAACCAAGGGCTCCCAACCCATTACCCTCTGAAACCTAGTCTTCACTTGGATGTTACCTCTGAACTGACCTAAATATCTTGGAATTGATTGATACTTTAACCTGCCTTTTAAGAGTAAAGAATTCTTTAACTCTCATAATTATTGTAGAATTTTTTTACTCCTCCCACCTATGGTTATTCATCCTTAATTTATTTCATTCATGCTTCAATGCATTTCCCCTACTATTCAAATGTACTGGTATTTATGTCTGCTCTGACCATATATGTGATACATTTCAGAAAGAGGCTCAGGTTGGTATCCAGGGCTCCTAAAGCTCCTTGGCTGTTTGCAGGGCAGAATAAGCATTTTTTTTTCAGTAAGGATTCATTTTCACCCCTGATGTCAATTAATCAGAGCCAGCAGATGTTCTGGTGCCTGTGACTTATCTTCTGGCCTGGGACATCCTGTTTACCCCCACTCTCTGATCACCTTCCACTGGCCTCTCAGATTTCAGGCAGAGTCTCCTTAATATCTTCTGGAAAGATCAAGACAGTGGACTTGTTTAGCCTTGTCTGCCATCGCCTCAGCCCCGAATAAGTGGGCCACACTTTAAAACCATTGATTTTGGAGTTTTGTTTTTTAGTCTATATAGTTTCAACTTCCTGTTCACCCTATACAGTTTCAAGTTGGGCCTTGACTCTCCGTTTTTATGAATTGAGCTATTATTCTTACTAGAAGAAACTATTCTTAGACATGATAAATTGTTCATTTGTGTACACGCTGATTACTCTATGAAACTGATTGACTCCTAAAATTTCTTCTCATTCAACACTGAAACTTCCAATTAAGGATATTAAAATAGGTTTCAAAATGGCCAATTATTTTAACTGCTGATTTGCTATTTTACGCATACACACACACACACACACACACACACACACACACACACACAGAGTACTCTGCAGCATGACATGCAATGTACAATTTCTTTGTAAAGAAAGCAGTTTATGTGAATGGAGGAAATGTGTGACATTAGTATGGTGGTTTAAAGGAGCAAACAAGGAGCAAACATCCTTGGGCTGAGATAGTTGAAAGCTGGGTCCCGTTGGTGGCTCTGTTTGGGAAGGTTATGGAAGGTGAAGCCATGCTGGAGGAAATATGTCACTGGCTTTGAGAGCTCATAGCCTCTCTTCCGCTTCCAACTTTGGCTGCTATGCTTGCCTCTTGTTGCCATGGCTCTCCATCATGACCGACTTTCCCCGCCACTGTAAACCAAACAAATGTCGCTTTTATAAGGTGTCTTGGTCATGATTGTCTGTCATAGCAGCAGAACTGTTTGATTTTTTTCTTGTAAGATCTGACAATCTTGAATGAATTGTACTTGCTATTGAGTACAGAAAAGCGTTCTGTGGTACCCTTTATATGCCTAAATAGGGAAGCATTGGAAGAGTTTGTTTCATACTCTTTAGACTGTTGACTGACTGCCATTTGCTCCTCATTGTTCTTAATAAACAGTGAGGTCAACTTTCATCAATACATAGTCCTGGAACTAAAAGTAGTTAAGGAAATCATGGGTGTTTTGTTGTTTTGTTTTTGAGATGGTATCTTACTTTGTTACACAGGCAGGCCTTAAGCTGTTGAGCTTAATCCATCTTCCAGTTTCATCTAGGTATGTGCAACTATACCCAACTAAAGTGAATCATTTTATTATCTTTAGTTTGGATTATATTTGTGCATATGTGGGTGTTTGTACAAGTTCATGTATAAAAATAATCTGGTTTAGGAGCTGAAATTATAAAAACCTTTTAATAATTGCCCAAATATATGGAATTCTAACAACTTTTAAAACCTTGAAGTTAATACTTTGTGTTATTTTAATCATCTAATCCCCCACACAAACTTGGCATTATCATTAGCCACCTCACTTATGGGGGCAGACACTGTGCAGAAAAAGAAGTCAGGCAGTATGCAGGCAGGTAGCTCAGAACTGGCAAACCCATGGAATTGGTCCAGGTTTGTCTTTGAGGATACCAAAAAGAAATAAAAGATGAGATGATTCCTTAGCAAGTGATGATTCCTTAGTGTGAGACTTAATTTCTGGGCTTCATTTTATGGCAACCCTTGATTCAATAGAGATTCTAGGGGCACATATATCCTAACACACACAGTACAGCAATGTGCTTATGGCTTGGAAGCTCTGGGAAGATTCAGTTCTGATGGGGAATGGGTGGGCACATGTTTACACAGTCCTATCAATAAATTGTGTTCACCTTTCTCTCTGGCCAGCTATGTAAGGGCCAGAGTCACTGTATCATACTGGCTTGCTTACATTAGACTGTGACAAGATCAAGAATGAAATAGACTGTCAAGAGGGCCAGCTAGAAGTCCTCCCTGCAAAAAGCAAGTGAACCAGGGCTCTCTGGCCAAACAGAAGCAATTGTGTATGTGATGTGTGAATATGTATGTATATACATGTAGTCTTGTGTCATATAATGGCATTTAATTCAGTGGCAGACTACATATACAGTAGGAGGT